CAACTTTATCATTGAGTTTAATTGTTACATTCTTTAAAAAATATCATTAATATACTCAATTGCATCATTACAACTGAAACTTAAATAATAACATGTGATCGTCTGCAGCTTTTTCGGAGCAATAGGACATAATTAAATAGGTTACTGCGTACAAATTACAACTCTATTTTAATTTTCATTTACTAATAAGATATTTACATTTATTAAGACTGAACTTCGCAACTAAACGAATTTCAAGTGCTGAATGACTTCTTTGAGGGTTGTCCTTGTACTGTTTAAAACATTGTAACTAATTATAAATTAGAATTAGAATTTAATAAATGGTACAATTAGAAGTCCAAATCGATGGCAGTAAACACAGAAGTCCAATAGAAAACATATCAAACATTGTATTCAACGGCACTGTAATCCAACCAAGCTCATCGGTAAAAGATCTTGGGTTACATATCGACACCAACATAAGCTGGCATGCTCAAGCGAATCATGTCAGTCGAAAAGTAACCGGTATTTTGCGAAGTCTCTACCGCCTACGCAAATTTCTTCCGTCCAGAACTAAAGTTTTACTTGTGCAGTCCTTAATTCTTCCCTTGATCGATTATGGTGATGTATGCTATTCTGATCTGAATGCAGATCTACTCAACAAATATGACCGTCTTCTCAATAACTGCATTCGATTTGTTTTTAACCTTCGTAAGTATGACCATGTGTCTGCTTTTCGGTCTCAACTTAATTGGCTTCCCATTCGTCAACGCCGTTGTTTGCGCATGCTCACTACACTTCATTCCATATTAACCTCTCCCAATCCCCCTTCCTATTTGATTCCCTTTATCCAATATCTTTATTCCAATCATGACAGAACCCTTCGCTCCTCTAATAATCTCTTGCTTCAATGTCCCTCCTACAACTCTAGTTTTATGTACTCTTCTTTTCCCGTTCAATCCATTCTCCTTTGGAATGACCTTCCGTATGACATCAGGAAGACCACTGAACGTATTGCTTTTAAGAATAAGATAAAAAAAACTATATCTAAGTAAGTTGGCAGAATGAAATAATCAGTAGTTATTGATATCGTATATTATTTATTTATGTATATTTATTAAGTATTTGTGAACATTATAGTATATGTATTCTATTTTGTATACTTAAATAAAGTAATATATTTTTGTTATATTGGGTTTAATATGTTTATATACTTTATATATTTTCATGTATATGTCTTAAATTTATGTATATATGAATATATATATAAATTTGTTTTAAATTAAAATTTGGTTTGAAACTTTTTACACCTGCCTCTTTTGTCTCTGCGTCGCCCATAGGTTGACTGGTAGAGAATGCCTTAGGCATTAAGTCCGCCTATACACAATACAAATTTTTTTTGTGTAAAAGTTTAAATAAATAAATAAATAAATATCATTTAAAGGCGGTGGTAGGGCCACGCAGCAGCCTCGGCTGTTGCACGAATGGGCAGGCCCGTCCGGGTAAGTACCACGACCTCACAGAAGACCAGCGTAAAGTGACAGTATGACAAATACTTTCGCGTTTCGTCTGGTGAGTGAGGTAACCGGAGCCCAATTTTCAAAAGGTTGTCAACGCATCTGTAACCCTCGGGTGTGGCAGATGTCCATGGGCGGCGGTATTTACTTAACATCAGGTAAACCGTCTGCTCGTTTGACAACTTTTCGCATAAAAAAAAAAAAAAAAAAAAAAAAAAATTTAAAGGCGAGGCAGTTATACCTCTACGTAGTTCAAGCAAGTTATAGAAACCTACACGTATATAGGAGACATTACATTACATTACATTTTAAAACATCCAACGTTAGACAATAGAATTTTACGAGGGCCGAAGCGACGGCGCTAACACGACGCTTCCCGCGGCCGAATAAAAAGGTGCGCAAACGAAAACGCCGACGGCGCTTTGGCGCCGACAGAGGGCGCGGAAGGCTTTACTACTTCCGGCGACAAGATGGCGGGCGTTCAGCGCAACAGGAAGCTGCGGCGAGCGCCCCGACGCGATAAAACCGACTAGGGATGTACCACCGGCGACGCAGGTTCGTGCATACGTTTAATTTATTCACGGTTATTTCACAACGTATGCTAAGCTAACATGCTTTTATTACGTAATGAGAATAACATTTATATATGCATAATTCCAATCTATTATGAACCCTAATACTTATCAGGGTTAACATTTACAAGCTAACGTGCTGTAATTACGTAAACGATGAGAACAATATTTATATATACATAATGCCAATCTATTATGAACTCTAATAAGTAAATGATTTAAATGAAAGGTAAATTAATCTATTATAAATATGAGAACAAAATTAAGTATGCATAATTTCAATCTATTATGAACCTTATTCATAAGTTAATGATGTAAATTGAAGCCAAACAAATCTTTTGTTCATCATTCAATCATTTACTACCATCGAAATCACTTCTTACATATAGGTGGGATGTTGAAACAAATTGTAAAGAATAATTACAAAATATAAGGATGCCAACACACGACACCGTATATTAAAGGGATATTATAAATAACAAGTTCAATAATGAATCAATGATGTTTTTTAATGAAGAAAAACTCGACATTGTTCCGCTTTGCATTATTTATAAAAGTGAATATGACAGATGATATAGAACGTATGATAGGGAAAGAGATAGCAGTCTATAGAATTGCAAACTAATATACACCAATTAGCGTAATTTGAGTGACTAGTATTAAGTTTAGCACATTTACGAATGGAACTCTGTTTCATTCTTAAATGTGCCAACTTTTCGTTCAAGTTGAAATGTAAACGTAGCTATTTAGAATACGTGACCCTCAACAGATTTATTATTAAGACAATATTGTTATCCTCCTTAAAAACGTAAACAACACAGTTTTATTAAATTATAACAGTAATTTAATAAAACTTGGGAGAGTTGTGTTTTAAATTGCTACGAAGGAATAAACAAAATAACAGTCTATATTTGTTTATTTACTCCTTAAGCTTTTAAAATTCTTAAGTTTATTATGCAAAATAGTTTCATTCATTTGGCTACGAAATTGCCTTTGTAAACACTAATTCGCCTCGCAATCATTTACATGTTCAAAAAAAAATTTTAAACGCAACAATTTCACCCTCAGTACGTTTCTTTCGGATCGACCATTTAACACTGTACTCAGTCCCAAGGCAATACAGCACAATATCGCACAGAGCACCGAAAAGTTTACAGTACCGAAGATCGTATCCAAAATATGTGTTAGGTGATAAACACCGGTTTTAGAACGGGCTAAGGTCGATTATTATTTCACGAGCGCGCGTGATAAGCCTTTTAGACGTGAAAAGGAAGGCACAACGCGAGTTTCCTCGCTGTGACGGAGAATCGGTTATTTCTCTCATCGGGTATGACGTAGGGTTTTCCGCTGGCGGTGATAACGCGAGAATGGTGATCATTCGCCCTTTGTCAGCCCCGAATGGCTCGTGAAATTTTGCACCTTCAAAGCGCGAACGCGATTTATTATTTGTTTATTCTCCGATAAAAAAGGGTATCCTTTGCTCGAAACTTCCATGACAACATTTTTGTAGCGCGGTAAAGGATCAAAATGCAATTTTTACTTGATGTTCCACAAAGATTTTGCGAATTTTAGATAGCTTTGCTTTATTTACTTACTTACACTTTGTGGCTTAGAAATGGCGCAGCGTCAGTATGTAGCTGCGGACGGAGTGGATCCATTGCTCATTAGAAAATGCAATTTAGCCACGTTTTTTTACGTTAGAAGGTGGCAATCGAGCTGGTGATTCACCTGACGTTGAATGATAAACGCCGCCCAAATAAAAGTCCATTTACAATACAGTATATAACTGTATAATTAAGTGGCCCCGGCTACTTCACTCACCGTACGAAACGCAGAAGTGTAACACTTCTACCTAACACGGGTCTTCTGTGAGGGCGTGGTACTTCCCCAGACCAACCTGCACATTCGATGACAGACCAAAAAGAAAATTAAAAAAAAACATGTTAATCAAAAAAAAGAGTACGGACCACGAGTCTGTAGAGTTACTTTGTTAAAATAAAAAAAAAAACCTGCCCATTCGTGGAACAGTGAAGACTGTTGCGTGGCCCCACCTCAGTTAAACGTAGCATATATTATTCGGTAGTCAACAAAATAATGAAAAAGATATGCAAAATCCTTTAATTATGTACCTACTAAATGTCTATATTTTACAATTTTCCATAATTATATAAATTGATTACTTAAATAATGAACTATGAAATTATCACTAAGCGGATAAATGCGTCACTACATAGTATAAGACAAAGTCGTCCCGCTGTCTGTCCTTATGTATGCTTAGATCTTTAAAACTACGTAACGAATCTTTTTAATCTTCTAATAAAATAAATAATCTTCTTTTTTTTAACTAGATAGAGTGATCAAGAGGAAGCTTTAATTGTATAATACATTGCACCCGTGCAACGCCGGGGCGCGTCGCTAGTATAACACAATTGATGAACTGACCAATACTTAGACAATCTGTGTTTACGTCATTGTAGTGTACAATAGACTAAGCCTAGCCAACTTGAATATCTGAAGAAGTGTCAAAATAGTACAGGCATTACACTGCTATACTTTTTCTAAATTCCAGTACGATGAGTGATTATTATTATAAAAAATGGAGGGAATTGCTCAAAGACCTAAACAGACATGCCAAACAGGATCTTGAATATCAGGTAAACATGAAAATTACCTTTTTTTTCTCTACAAATTTTAACACTTCGTTATTATTTTGAAATTCGAAAAATACATATTTTTTCTATGGCAAATTAGCTGCCAGTACAAGTAGTGGGCCAAAGATTATAAAAAAGTTTTTTTACCAAGCAGAATAAAACCTCGTTACAGTATTTTCACCATTAAGTAAGACTAAGTTACTAATTTTAAGGCAACCAAAGCTCATGATCAAACATGTTGTGAGGCAGCGCAACGCCTCGGAGGAATGTTAGCAAAGTATATGTCCATTTACAACGAGGGTCTCATCTGCTTGCAACAGAACCTGCAGGTGCAGAAGGCTAGCTTTATAGAGGACGTGATCCACACTGTAGCTGCCAGGTTAGTAGAAATTTTATCAATCAGGGGCAAAACACTAACTGTACAAAGGACGTGAATGAAATTGTAACTGTCAAATGAGTAGTCATTATTGCGAAAGAAAAATATATCGCATTTGAAGTTCATTCATTCATCAAGATATAAGGAAAATCCTGGGCCGGCTACGTTTGAGATGTACCGCAACCGCTCTGAATATTATAATATTGCAAAGTATTAATACTTTTACATTTCGTGAAATGAGCGAGATTACCAGACTGCTTGTATTAAAAGTTTGTAACCCACACGACCATTGGCGGCGGTTAACACTTACTATCAAATGACCCAGTCGCTCGTGTTGTCATCCTTTTCTTTAAAAAAACACTGAGGTCTCCATCACACCACTCTCCAACGCAACCATTTCAATCGTTACAATGCTAAAATACCATATTGTATTTTTTAAGCAAATATCAACACAAAGATAACTAAGGTAACATCGGTGTACGGGAAATAAATAAATATTGCTCTTTTTTAGAATATTGGAGCTTAAAAACCAATTACGAAAATTGGAGAGTCACAGGTACCAATTCTTCGGAAATGGTTTGATGCAGCATTTGTTAACTTTCGATAACATCGAACCAAATGACTTATTACAAAAAGTGAAAAGGTCGGAGCGGTTGCAAGCTATGATTGATGAGGTCGTTCTGAGGATAGAACAGAAAAAAGAAACCGAGCTCCAGAAATGTAAGGAAAGGACTTCAATAGTACCATATGGGTTCCAATCGTGAAATAGGGATTTGTTTTAATAATTAATACATAGTATATATGTGTATATGTGTATAAATGTTACTTTCTAATCTTCAACGTTTTTCTGTGAAAATATTTATTAATTTGCTTTAACATTTTAAAATTTACGCCCTTATAGATTACTTTTCACTAGCAAAATCAACCCACCATCGTTCACACTATTATCGCAAATTCAAACCACATAAAACTTTCCATATAAAATAAGGAAACCCCATTTCTCTTTAAATAATTGACTATTTATGCTTTTTAGTAAGCAAGGAAGAAAATACGCTTATTATAGAACACGAAAAGGCAAATATCTGGGATAGCGACGATGAAAATGAAGATGATGTAAAGGATTACGTTTGTGAAGTAAAGCAAGAAATCTCCGAAGAGAGTTTAAGACGCAGTGAAATGATTAAACTAATTCAAGCACATGAAAGATCCCGGTGAGCACTAATTGTTGTGAGTGAGATTCTGATTATTGAGAGAAATAATTCCATATGTCATTTTCCTATGACTTCAGACAAGTAACGCGTTGGGACACTGAAAGGAGGTTCAAAAGAACTATGTGGGAAAAGGAATTAAGCGGTACATTAAAACCTCAAGCCAGATTTGAAATAAAGGAGAGAGCTGCTAGACTTATACAAAACATTTTCAGGTAAACCAATTAATTATCTTATTTAAATGTAATACACATAAATAAAAACACAACGCATATGGCACAAATTTTAACGAATTACTGAAAATTTGTCTTTTTTAATATTTTTAAACTCTTATGGATTATTTTCGTCCTATGTGTGAGATAAATGGGCCCACTTTTGTAAGCAACGCATTTACAACCCATCGGGGGATTTAGACGTGCATGGGAGACGGTAATCACTTAAACATTATACCATACCACCATGCCATGGTGATATTAATAATAGATTAATCAAATATTTTTAAATTAGATTTACAAAACAAAAATGTTTCATGTTAAGATTTGCTATAGTATACACATATATTTAAACACATATATTTAAACATTAAATCGACCCACAGGGCATATTTTCGTATAAAAAGAGACCGCACTGATCATTGTAAGGTCGATGAAATACTCGGCATTGATAGTTGTCAGAAACATATTGCGATGGACAAAACAAACGATGAGCAGGTAATCATGGTAAATATTAGACTGCCATAAAACCAAAATTAAATGTTAAAAGCAACTAATTTTTGTTGACTGTCAAGATGTTAGAACAACTTAACAAAAAGAAGCGGCATATACTGGAATGGAAGAAAAATTGGGAACAAGTTGAAGCACAATACAAGAGAAGAGTAAAAGATGACCTGGCCGAAGAACACAGAGGTGTGATAAGAAGCTGGTTTCGTAAATGGTAAATATTTTGATAGGCACATTCACCACTATCGATCATAAAGTAAAATCCACTAAATGTTATTAAATGCAGCTAGATTTACACTTACAATTTATTTGTAACGAACTGAAATAAAATTAAATGTCTTGCGTATAAGTTAATCCTTAAATAATGACTGTATGTCAGAATGTAGTATTCTCGTATAAGAAATCGAATTACATGTAAATCACTGACAGGAGTCATGTTTTCGGATTGTGTGAACTTCGTCTGACAATAATAAAATTTATTAGACATAATTCTATTATAGTTCAAAAAGGCAGCAACCTACAATGTTTGGAATAAATTGTTTATAGGTATGATGAAGTAAATTTTTTCTATAATATACCAACTGAAGAGCAGGGTGGTTCTGCGTTAATAATTAAAGAAGATGTACCCACTCCTTTAGAATGGCAAGAAGAATATGAAGCTTATTTAATAGAGAAGAGAGCTAATAAGAATAAAACAAGTCATCAGGTTTCTATTTTATTCTCCTTAAAAGAACACAGAAGTTTACACTCTTTTTTCAAACATCTCTTTGTTCGTACCAATTTAAACTTAAAAAAAAAACTAACGACAAAAGTTTTCCAGAAAAAGTGGGAAAAACTGGATTCAAAAAGAGAAGAATTTAGGATAAAGAGAGAAGAGTTCAAGAAAAGGAAGCAAGAAGAGGCGTTAATGAGAAAAATAATGAAAAATCCCAAAATGCATCCAGGCTTTCACTATCCTGTATCGAAAAAGACAAAAGATATAATAAACGTTAGATTTTTTACGTCTAAATTAATTTGTTGCTTGATAGGACATTCTGTTTCATTAATTTGTATTTATCTGTTTCGTTCTCTTATGACTGAGTCTCTCTTGCTACTTTAGGTAATTGAAAATTATCGAGAACACTGGAAAGATATTGATACTTGGGAAATTGAAGGATATAAAGAAGGATTTGTGAGAGACGTTGATAAAAGCAACGCTTGCATGAATACTAAGATGGCGATTATGACCACGGTAGATGATGATATGAGGTTAGTACTTTATTAGCATTTGCATAATTATATTACTATACATATATATGATTGTAGTAATAGTAGTATTGGTGAGTCGTTTTATTTTCTGAAGTGGGTGCGGTATATACTTAAGTTGTCCTGTTCCACTTACTAAAATAGACTAATCGAGGACTATTACTCGGTCTATGTTTCCAATAAATAACACTCGAAACTTTAAAGCAAACTGATTTAATTAGCGGAAGATAGTTACAATACGTTAACGAGTCAAGAGTTACAATAATATAGCTTATACATCAGAATATATTTTTTTGGGCTGGATGAGCCACTGTTTGCCTTAGGGGAGTTTACAATTCCGACGGGCATGAGGTGGCCGGGCGCTCGGGGCGCCTAGCCTGAACCTCGACATCAGAATCAGCCAATTTGCTTGTTGACAAGTTCTACATGTTTTAATGTTGACAAGTTGTTGACGATTAGACAAGTTGCTTCGCCGTGAACCGGTGGTACCTTACGAACCTATACACATAATCTTTGATGTAAAATTTGACGATTCATAAGAGCGCGCAAGCGTCTATTTGAATAAATATATTTTTCATTTTGATTTTGATTTTGAACGTCGTCAGCACTACGTCGTAAATAGGATTGTTCTAGAAGTCGAGTTGACTTGCATGCGCGCTACACTTCAAAGACTATTTTACTGCATCTCACGTTTCTATCAAAAAAATGTTTTTATAGACAAGAACTCAAAATTCTCAAGAAGGCTTTGCAAGAGGATTATAGGATAAATAACGAAAAGATGCCGGAGATGATAAAACGTAAAATCAAACGCCCGAAACGGAGACCTAAACTAAAGTCCACTATAACCGAAAGCGTTCAGGAAAAATTGGAGGTAGGCTAAGAAATTATGATTTTCTGGTATAACGATAATTTGAAAAAAAAAAAAACGAAATTTATTGAGCCAAACGTGCATGCAACATGATTTGATTTAGAGTCACCAACTCAAATCACAAATGTATGCATCTGTATCTGATTTTTTTAAATTTCTATATGTTACAGGAATTGGTTGTAGCAGGTATACTGAAAAACCGATTAAAAAAGAAGTTTGAGGAGTTTATAGGGGAATATAACTACGCCGGAGACATTCTACGTTGTGCTTTGCAGTAAGAATGATTTAGCTCAGTGTCCGGGCGCTCACCTTTAATTCAATTTACTGAAGCAAAGTTCGATCGTGAGGAAACCTGCACATTATCGAAATAATAACAATAGCAGTGGAGTCGCGTTATTATTCCCTGATGGTCACTATGCCCTGATGCCCTCTTTAGGACATTTATAGGCTTTTACTTTACTTTAATTTTTACAACCGACTTCAAAAAAAACCTTTTTTTTTTTTCTGTTTAAAAATGGACTTGTTATTTATCTTGGATTCTAGAAAATAGGTACAACTAATTGTGAATCTTTAGATAGCTATCTAAATAGAGATAAATAAACGCTCACGATTTTCAGAATTGCATTGCCCTTAGGGGGCGAGATTAAATCCCTTTGGTGGGAAAAATGCAATGAATTATTTCACGGTGCTCAGCGCTTTCTACTGATTGGACCACAGGGCTGTGGAAAGACTACTCTCGTACACATTTTGACGGCGGTGAATGGTGAATAATTAATTTAAATCCAATATAAGCTAACTTTTATTCTTTATTGACTTTCGCAACATTTACTTTTATCGACAGCGGTCATTGACAAATCAATAACAGCTAAAGTTCTGTTAATGTATACACAATTTCCAAAAATTATATAAATGTAAAATAACTTATGCCAAATATTGTCAAATATTCAGTGACAGATGATATAGAACTTATGATTTGGAAAGAGAGAGCAGTTAATAAAATTGCAATCTAATTACACCAATTGGTGTGATTCGAGTGCCTCAATTTCGGCGCTCGTGTCATATCTTTGTATATAATATCATTGCGTATAATCCCCTTAATTTACATGTTATCTCGTCCATCTTAGACGCCAAGCTGTTCGAATTAGACCCAACGGAATTCCCGCCGAATCTAATGACACGGGAGAAACTGCGTCAAATTGCTGCCAATGTCGTCACTTGCGCGCGTGCCCTACAACCGTCCGTCATTCATTTGAAGTACCTTCAATTGATTTATTGCAAAAAGGTACCTCCGAAACATCGAAAGAATAAACAATCGTTTATAGTTTATGTGAGATCGTGGCAAGCGAACAGGCGTTTGACTTGGTGATGAATGATTCATATCGCTCATGGATGACCTCAAACCTTGTGGGGTTGTTGATTCATTGAAACCTTTAAATTGGTGCAATAAATCGCAGAAAAATTATTATACTTTCACTTCACGCAAGTCTTGATATTCCCCGGACATGCCTGGCCTAGAACTACAGTCTCTTTTTCTCTCTACCTTTTTTTAAAATCTAACCCCAACTACAACTACATCAATAACCACAACTTTTTAAATCTTGCAACCTAGCTAACACTATTCACCTTTACTCGAAATAAATAATTAAGTAATAACATGAAAACCAGTGTCATTAACGAGGCGTAATCATAAACACAGCAATATGCGCATAAAAATCCGAGCAGAAAAATATTTGTTGCCAATGGAATTAGAACGCCCGTCCAGATGAAAGTTCTTGAACCACAACTGCCGGTGGGAGAAATATTTCAAGATATACTAAGAGCTGTCGCGGTGCTCAGAAGTGAAATAGAAAACTTTAGCAGTTTCATAAAAATAAGAATGTTTCAGGCACCTCCAGGTAAAAATAGGAAATATCTGGATATGTTCAAGCAGTGCCTGATACAGAACTTGCTGAAGAAGATTCGTAAAAACGATTTGATTACCGTAATAGGTGATTATAATGTTTGTTTTTTAAATTTTTATCATAAGTAAAATCCAATGACGCCATTGATCACAATGAAATAATTCAATCGTGAGTTCAGCCGTCGTAATATTACATTAATAATGTCTCACGAAAGTTTTAATAATTTTATTGCTAACCGATACGGCAAGGTATGGCAAACGCGAGTGAAACGGTTCGCGGCGTTAAGAATAAAACGTAACATACTCGAATGTGGTATACAATTTGTGATACAGTGCCGTGATAGTGGTGTGACACCAAAAATGCGCGTATCAAAGAAGTGAAGTGCTTTCGGGGTTACAAAGAATTCTATAACATGAAAAAAAAAAAAAAAAAAATAAAGTTCAGCCGTCCTAATATTACATTAATAATGTCTCACGAAAGTTTTAATAAAATAATTCTTTAAAGTACATTTTGTATTTTAAAGATTTTTTAACGTAACCTCATACATAAATGGATATGTGCCTTAAGTTTTCCATGCCCCCATCTTAAATTCTCTTAAAACCAATCACGTTCATCTTATGGCATTGCATTTAATGTTGCCAACATACATGAAATGAAACAATGCATAATATTTCTTTGAAGGGAGCTGTTGCGATCCTTGGCTGACAGCAACCAATATTATGCTTAAGAAATTTCCTGACGTGGTCATGCTACCAGACACAACATACCCAACTGCCTCAATGATACTTACGAACTGGAAGAACGCGTAAGAAGTTTCGAAAATACATTTGTTTTAAACAGACCGTGAGCTCACAGGAATATCAAGACAACTAGATTAAATTCTTATTGAGTCGTTGCTTCTAGCCAACCACTAAACCAATTTGATAGTCAATTTACTGATTTGTGGCTTACAAATGACATAAGCGGCTTACAGAAAGCCTTGAAAGTACAGACAAAAGTAAAAAAAAGTAATGTAACGGCCTATACGAGTCCCACCGTTGGGCAAAGGCTTCCTCTGTACAAACTGTATTAGGACATAGTCCACCACGCGACCTCTATATCTTCCTAATATATTTTTTTATTATTATTTCTCAAATATGCAGGTCATAACGCCGTTTTCCGTCGTCGTTGAGCACGTGATAATCCAGCACTTAAAATTGGCAATTTCATTGGTGCTGGCACCGGGATTTGAACTCAAGTCGTTCAAGTATATTGAATTAAAAACGAGCGCCCGGACACTGAGCTATCACGGCTTTTGACTCTTGGCTCTTGATACAGACCACAAGACTGTAAAGTTTTCAAATTTTTCTAATTCTTTGACATGTAGACTACAAGGTGATTTCCTTCAAGTTCTGGCACTCTAATTTAAATTATTTAATCACTAGCAACCGGATCTTAAATGGCGGTGTCGGTACAAAATATATTGTTAAATGCCAGAGTTGATTTGATAAAGTAACCATCGTTAGTAAATCGGTACACTTGAGATCATCAAAGTATTTAATAATAATAATTATGTACTCCTAATAGTCTGTGTGCTTTATGCCTAGCTTAGCAGTAGAACATTATATTCTACTTCTAGGCTAGGCTGTACGCGTATGTTCTATATTACTCTATTCGTTTACTATTCGTCTACTTGCTTCTTACTTTCTACTATTCTTCTACTTCAATATTAATGATTTGGGACAGCAATCGTGTGGTGCCACGGAACCTTAACTTGCAGAGCTTAGCGCAGTTCTTCGAGGGTACTCGTATAGATATCTGAAAGAATCACTCAATAGCTTCCTCACCCCTGAAAACATTATAAAGTAAGTGTTTATCCCATTCTCGTAATACCGTCTTCATTGAACACTATCGATAAATTTTAAAGCGTTTAAAATGTTGACTCATTTCACGTGATAACCGCCGTTGCAGATGCGTTGCCACCTTTTAATAAAGTGGGCCCCGGTTACCTCACTCACCAGACCTTATCGGTGGTAGGGCTACGCAGCAGCCTCGGCTGTTGCACGAATGGGCAGGCTCGCCCGGGTCAGTACCACGAACTCACAGAAGACCAGCGTAAAGTGGAAGTATAATACTTTCGCGTTTCGTCTGGTGAGTGAGTCGTGAGTGGCCGGAGACCAATTTTCAAAAGGTTGTCAACGCATCTCGAACCCTCGAGTGTATCAGATGTCCATGGGCGGCGGTAACATCAGGTAAACCGTCTGCTCGCTTGGCAATTTTTCACATAAAAAATAAATAAATAAACGAAAAACTGAAGTATAACAATTCCACTTCATGCTGTGTGAGTTCTGTGAGTCAAAAAAATATGAGTTTAATAGATAAATGGTCGAAATGATTTGCTTGCATAACGGAGACTTATAAGTGCACGCAGCCGGCACTTATAATCAGAACCTTATATCGTAGATCTGGTGGCCCAACCACTATGGCATTGTGTTATGTAGAATGTAACGTAAACAACTGACATTGTAGTCTGTAACACAGTTCTAAACTATCACAGGCTACAGGTAACCAATAAACTTATTATTATGGGGGTATTTATTTGTTTTCTCGTCTGGTTGGGTTTGGGGATAAATAATAAACACATAAATACATATTGCATCTATAAAATAAATATTATGAATAAAAATAAATATACAGATGTAAATATTATATATAATACATAAATAAATAGGACCCAACCAGAAGGAAGCCCTCGGCAGGGGAGACCAAACGGCCGAGGGTTAGGGTGAGAGGGAGAGAAACCGGCGGACGATGCGGGCGGTATCGAGGAGCACCGCCTTCTGCATTTGAGCTTGGAGCGTTCCGTCCCGGAGTCCCAGTCGCCTCAGATGTTCGGAGAGGCTGACTGGGATTAAACCCATTCGCAGACACGACTATTGGGATAATTTCGGTCGGCACACCACCCCACATGTCGGTCACCTCGTGAGCCAGGTCCAGATACTTCGTCTTCTTATCTGTTTCGGCTTTCACGAGGTTCTCGTCATATGGAATGGTAATGTCGATCAAAAATACCCGCGACTGTGCCCGGTCCATCACCACGATGCCAGGTTTATTCGCGACAATCGTCCTGTCCGTGATGATGGGCCGGTCTCAATAGAGCCTGGCGCGGTCATTTTCGAGCACGGCCTCCGGAGAGTACTTGTAGTACGGCAGTTTCCGTTCCACGACTCCGTATTTCAGAGCGAGCTCCTGGTGTATAATTCTGGCTACTAGGTTGTGTCTATGCAGATACTCAGAGTTAGAAAGCATGGAACAACCGGAGATAACATGCCGTAGCGACTCCCCGGGATGGCGACAAGCTCGACAGATGTCGACGGTGCCATCCCTTAGGATGTATCTCCGATAGTTGTTCGTCTTAATAACCTGATCCTGTATCGCACAGACAAAACCTTCGGTTTCCCCAAAGAGGTCACCGAAACGTAGCCAGTTAAGGGAGGCAACGGTATCTACGAAAGGCTCGTGTAGAGCCTTGTAGAACCTCCCGTGGAGCTCTTTCTCCTTCCATACGGTCTCTCGGTCGGAAACGCTCAGTACTCCCGGGTCCTGCCATTGCTCGTTGGCTAAGGATAGAGGGGTAAGTCCTTTATCACAACTAATGACGTCCGTGTAGATTGATTCATCCGATCTCGCCAGAAAGAAGTTACGGAGGCTGCACACCTCGCGATTGTGCATGGTGAGGGCGCTTAAAAAGCCCCTCCCGCCATGCTTCCGCGGCAGGTACAGCCTCATCACTGACGATCTCGGATGATGCATTCTGTGGGACGTCATAGTTGTGCGGACTTTTCGATCCAGGGCGTTGAGCTCAGTTTGAGTCCACCTGAGTATGCCAAAGGTATACATGAAGACTGGCCGTTAAATTCGCGTGCCTTGTTTACGCCTGATAAATGGCTGTTAAATACCTTTGTCAGTTGTGCAAAAAACACGTCACGAACTGACTGTTTCATGCCAGCCTCATCGATACACATGTTTTGTGACATACCCAGGTATCGGTATGTTTCAGCCTCAGAGAGGGTCCTTATGTTAACGGGCATAGATAGGTCTATGCCCTCCGTATTAGCGACCTTACCCCTTTCGACATGGAGGACCGCGCACTTATCCGTCCCAAGCTCCATTTTGATAGAATTGCTGAAATCACAAGTGACTTTAAGCAATTCCATCAAATGGGAGCGATTGGAGGCGAATAATTTGAGGTCATCCATGTAGAAAAGGTGGGTCACTTTTGCCCCTCCTCTCCGAAGCTGAAATCCTCCCCCCGAGCCCTCCAGTAATACGCTGAGAGGATTCAGGGAGAGGCAAAACCATATTGGACTCAAACAGTCGCCCTGGAAAATACCCCGTCGTATCCTTATCCGGTATTCCGCAGCCGTCATCCGCTCGCCTAGATGACAAAGGATCGTACTCCATTGCCCCATACAGTGCCCGAGGAAGTCTCTTACTGTACAGTCTACTTTGTACAGTTCGAGGACCCTCTTTAGCCATGTATGGGGCACCGAGTCGAACGCCTTTCTGTAGTCTATCCAGGCGGCGGAGAAGTTCCGACGGTTGCGTTTAACCATTTTGCCAATGACCGCGTCGATGAGAAGTGGTTCCTTGGTTCCACGACCACCGCCCCGACATCCATTCTGAGCACGAGACATAATCCGATTCATATTAATATGCCGGGTGATTCTCATGCTCAGAATAGATGTCAGTGTCTTATAGGCGGTACTTACTCGGGTCTGTGGTAACCTGATCTTTAGGAACCAAATGAGTGACCCCAGTAGTAAAGAGGCTCGGGAGCGACCTCTGATCGAGAGCTTCTTGGAACTGTCGGGCGAGCACAGCATGACACACCACGAACCCCTTCAGCCAGTAGTGATGCAGCCCGTCGAGTCCTGGACTTTTCCAGTTCGGGGCTCTACGGACTGCCTCAGATACGTCGTCGGGTGTTATGATGACGGGGTCCATGGGTGTAATGTCTGCACATTGGCTCGCCACGACTTGTGTCCAAGGGCCCTCCCTGTGGTCTACGGGCTCTGACCACAGGCTGCGCCAGAAGGCGACAGTGTCTGCCTGGTCCGGTCCTTGGCCCGTTCCACAGCTCATTGGTCGCTCCAAAGATTTGTAGAGCCTCTTTTGGTCACTCTGGAAGAGGCGATTCTGGCTAAACCGCGCCGTCCTCTCGGTATATCTCCGAATCCGCTTCCCCCAAGCAGCGATACTCTATTATTATTATTATTATTAATGGCGAATAAAACATAAAAGAGTTTCAATTTACACAACTCAACGACTTGATAGGTTTAGTGTAGTGGACCTGTCACTGACGCCAGGGGCTATGGGTTCGATTACAACTACGGGAAAAATTTTGTGTGATGAACAGTGTGTCGAGGTATATCCATTTACAAAAGAAAAGTATGCATAAAGATGTTTATCAGTTACCTAGTACCGATATTACATGTTGCTTATTTAGGACTAGATAACATTGTGCAAAAATTAGATTTGAAATATTTCATTTTTATTAATGTGCTCCACATTGCTAGGATGGCCGCGTACGGGCTGTCTCCCCAAGAACTTTTTGAACATGTCACACGCAACGGGTGCGAGGAAAAAGTTGTAAGGGATTTTGGTTATAACACCAACTTAACATTATTTGTACTTTACTTGAAACAGTTGAAATAGGTTACACAAAAATACATTAACCGATAAAGGGTTCCGTACATATCTGAAAAGACGGCAAAAAAATTATGTGTGTTATATGGGAGCCCAACTTAAACTTTTTTATTTTGCTTTTTTTTTTTATATTTGTTTTGTTGTAGCGGCATCAAAAATACATCATCTGTGAAAATTTCAACTGTCTAACTAATCACGGTTCATGAGATACTGCGTGGTGACAAACGGACAGACAGACAGATAGATCTTAGTAAAGAAACAGTTCCGTACATTTTTATTTACTATCTATTGACCTAAGCTGGTATTTTCTCCCATTTTTATTATGGTACTGACCTAATTTTTATTGTAAGTGATATAGTTAGATTATAGTTAGTTACATACAGTGAACAAATATGATATAAGACTAGACACAAAAAGAATTAAACAACCATATATCATGTTTCCTTCATATTTTCAAAACCATGTATTCATGTGAGTAGCTCGAAAACGAAACACATTAAGGGATTGGAAAAATTTAGAACGATCCTCGTGACTTAACATTTTTGCATATAACAACATTTTGTAAAAATTTACTCAACATACGTACTGTTACGATATTAGCAAAATCCATCGTTAATATAAATAGTAAAATGACTAAAAGAGTCAATAATCTTATTTCAAATTAAATACCTAATAACTAAATCAGTAACTAATTGTGAAGTTGTCAGTTAATTGACAACTTCACTGACAATATTTAATTTTATCTATACAGCGTGTCGTTACCATCGCGACAATAAATGAACACACATTATTATAGGGGATAACTTTTTAAAGTTATATTAAACATTTAAATTCTTTGAACATCAATATTTATAGAGTTATTAAATTTTCCAAAACAAAGAATTTTAGAACACACTTACCTATAAAAGCGTAACGTAAAGTTCATTTGTAAAGGTCACAAAGCATATGAATGGGTTGAATGAATTTAAAAGAGACAAAACATACTATTAGAAGGAGAGGCTTGTAATGAGACGCTGTAGCGCGAGTTGTATAGGATGTTACAAATTTTGTTTCTTTTTTACTTAAGTAGTTTGTTTGAAAAATATTTTTTTTTAATTATGGATTTTGTTTAACGTAATATTTTTTTATGATTATTGGCAAGTAGCGTCAGACGTGTGTTCATTTATTGTCGCGATGGTAACGACACGCTGTATATAATTATGTTCTCAACAGGATTACGAGGAATATCACAAATGGTACACCGAGAATACAACGTGGGGTAAAAAAGAAGAAAAAAGAGTAAACGACGACAAAGAATTCAAGTTATTAGCAAAGAAATTTGCCGAGAAAGAAGAAAAGAAAAAAGATCATAGTAAAAAAGACAATAAAAAAGACAATGAAGAGGAATCTGAAGACAGTAACAGTTATACTGACATATGAAGATTGATTTCATATTGTGTTAATATTTTTCATTGATGAATTTTTAAATAAATATTTAAACATGTTAAAAAAATTACCCCACAGCTGTTCAAACGTTTTCAATTACTATGAATGTCCAAGATAGCCCTTTAATAGCATAGATATATTTAATCTATTCCCATTTTTTTGCGGACCTTTTCATTCAACAAAAATAATAAACACGACCCGAACACCAGACAATTACTGCAATTTTTAATAAAAACAAATATGCATTTTAATGCTGTCATCGGTAGATAAAGGTCCGAATTGCGGACGGGCAAATATAAAAAGATATGAAGTGTCAATTTTATGCGTTTGGGGAGGGCGAGGGTTGTAGGGCGGCCCATCGGCTGATGCGACACTTTTTATTTCTTTATTGCGCAAAAATGCCAACTCTCACCGGTGGTCGACGGGTCACCACGATTTCGATGTACGTTCGGATATTTTCGTAATACGTTATACTCCTTTTGGCGTTTTGGGAAAAAAATATGCGAGTAAAGTTTTTAAGATGCTTGCGCTCACCGACATCGGAAAAGGGATATGATGAAGTTGGTTGCAAAGCTACCAATTTCACGTTATTAACATGGCAAGTAATAGCGACTTTTTGACATTGACCTATAACTCCAAGTTATTTAAGTAAACCATCATCAATTGCATTTAAAGTCTTTTTCACAAACAAAGAGTACCTACTGGTACAGGGGATAAAATTTGTGGTTATTCTTATTTTGTCACGCTCAAGAAGTATAACTTATATACGTCGAATGAACAAGTGCATTATGAGGGAACAATAAAGGTTATCAAAAATCATAACAAATAGTTTCACTTCAAGGCAAGGTTACTGAACTAGTAAGCCTACCGTCTAAGACTACATCTCCACTTACTATCTGGTAGGATGGAAGTCCGGCACTGGCCGGTTATTGAATAAAAAAATAATCTATTATTTCACATCGATGTGATACTACTGTAAAATGTAGACTATGTGGGCGATAATATCATGATTCAAGTGTCGCAATCAATGTGTTTACAGTGCGATAGAAAAATCATTTTGACATCCTTCAGATGTGAGTTCTTTAATTGAATTGTCATCGCTTTCTTCGTCGCTACTTTCCTTTAAACTATTCAACAGCAAAGAAAAAAGACGGGGTAATTATGGTTTGTTTGTCGATCGGGTTTTCGACTATTGAAATAATCTTTTAGTAGTGGAGGTTTAAAATCGATTGAGGCTTTTCAACGTCACTAACATTAACATAGTTTTCTTTTTTAAAACACTAAACATTGTGGTATCTTTCAATAAATTCCAAGAAATCACAGAAATAATTTTATCTGATTTCGTAGCGGACGGAAACACCCTACCGCGTCGCCCCTTTTAATATTCTGGCCGCGTATTTAGAATTAATTTCGCTCGTTTAAACATTGTAACCCCTCGTCCGAGCCTCCTAATTGTTGTTTGGCCTTCGTCTCATCTTCGCAAGCAGTTAGAGCGACCGTAAAATCGCCTATTAACAATGCTAAATTACTGAGCATCGACTGACATGTTTGGTAAGGTATTGTCTTTGATATAAAAAATAAAAACAACACAATAAAAACAGTAAACAATCACGTCCCTAACGATCAAATCAAATTTCAATTTCAAATTAAAAGTACCTTTATTCGAATAGACGATTTTACATAAAAAAATATTAGTTTCGTAAGGTACCACCGGTTCGGAAAGCGGTTTCTGTTGAGAAGAGACCGGCAAGAAACTCAACAGTTGCTCTTTTTCAAAAATATCAGGGTACAATATAATATACAGGCATAATAGTCTTATTCTAGCCTACGTGAGTATCAACAGTATTAACCCACAAATCTTCTGCCCTTATCCCACATAGGTGTATTCGACACAATAGGTCAATATTCAATATTCTCAATGGTATTGACTGAAATATCTTTCACCTCCTTGGAAATAAAGACCCAGATCCGGAACAATCATATGGCGATCACCCACTACCCACAGCGCCGAAGCCAATAAAGTTACCTTCGCCACCGAGGCATGTAGGTGCCTCCCCCTTATAACCATATTAGATTTATAGGCCAGAAGCAGAAGCAATAATCAATAATAATAAACATTTTTACGACAAACAAAGCAAAACTTACTAGGAAACGTTATTCATACTTAAACATAATTTACTTTTCTAAATAAATAATTAAAGATATATAAACAGAAAGACACTAAAAACACACTACGTCCAACGCAAAAGATTTTTTTACAGAAATGTGATGCACTATCCTCTAACGGCTAACCCAATGGAGTCGATAATCATTCATCTTATAAGTGAAATATCGAGGAATCGTAAATCTTATAGATGCACTTGTGTTTTTTTAATTTATTTGTGTTTTGTTATGTTTTTGTTATGCATTTATTTTAAGTTTTTCCAAAATTATTTTATGTACTGTGTAGTTGCATTATTTTTTAAGTTTTGTATGTATCCATTGTGCTTAGACCGTGAATGAACGTTCCTTCTTCTTCTTCTACTTCTCTTCTGGGTTTAGAATCTAGAATCATAGACGCCCCAAGTTACTCTTATATTACAATCTACATATCGAGTCTTTAAACACGAACGGAATAGTGAGGTAAGCCATTACCTACGTTCCATCGACCTCTTTTATTCCAAGGCCACAGGCGACAAGCCTGTCACGTTTGTGCGCCAACTCGAAACGTTGCCATATCCAAAATACGAAACACGGGTTGATTAATAAAATTTAATAAACAATAAAATAAAATTTAATTAACAATAAAATTTAAACACAATAATTATTATAAAACAAAGTTGTCCCGCTGTGTGTCTGTCCCTATGTATGCTTAGATCTTTAAAACTACGCAACGGATCTCGATGCGGCTTTACTACTCGATAGAGTGATTCAAGAGGAATGTTCATATGTATGATACATTACACCCGTGCGAATCCGGGGCGGATCGCTACAATTTAATAAACAATAAAAACACGTGCAGACATTTATCACAGATTTATTTTCAATACAACAAGATTTGCCCAAAAAGTCATCACATCGGAAAGAATTTCGGCGCATAGAATCAGTACTGGCGGAGCACCCTGCACTGGGGGTTGCATTTGGGCCGGCGGGGAGGGGCCTTGGAGCTCCCGGCCTTGGCTTGGCACATCTCTGCCAAGCCGGGTGCCAAGTCGGAGGGCAGCAGGCTGCCAGGCTGCAAATAGCCGAGCAGCGAGGGGGCGTGCTCTGACACTATCTTCCTCCTCTCTTCTGCCACTTCCGCATCCCTGCGAACGAACGTTTCCAATGAACAATCTCGATATGTCTATGGTCTGCGTTATAAAAGTACCGAGTACACACCTATTTGGTTTCATACAGATATACATTATTTTAATTGTTAACATAACTGTGTTTGTTGTTGAAACTAAATAAATATTCATTCATTCATTCATTCATTCATTCATTCAAAAGCGATGACTCTGTGGTGCAGCTGGCTTCGGGGGCCGTGGGTTCGATTCCCACACGGTACATACAATTGTGTGAGCCACAGATAATTATTGTTTCGCAGCTGCGAAACGCTCCTCTGTACAGAGGGTATCTGGGGAAAAAAGGTCCTTACAATACAGGATAACGCTATGGGTTGGCATGGCCAGCAAGGGTTAATGTTATCCTTCAGTAAGGGACAATGTTTTCAAAGGGGGCTACAATAGGTCTTCGAGGTTGCAGTGGTAGTTGGGATTTGACCAACCTCTTCCTCGCGTAATAAAAAATTATATAAAGTTATTAAAATTGTACACCCGGCCCGATCGGCGAAGTGGACAGTGGACTTGTCTCTTGCCAATTGGTGTGGGTTCAATACCCAATACAAGAAAAATATTACTAATATTACTAGGTGTATACATAATTACATACAGGGTGGCTTTTCTAAGTGTGTCCATTCTTTTATTAGATTCTAGACATAAATAATGATATATAAAAAATGATAAATTAATTAATTACATTCATTTGAACTTATCTCAAAAAGTGCGTCATTTATACGCAACTCGTTTATTTTACGCGCAATCATTCATAACTAACACGCACTCAAGTTCGTGCACGGTAAAATTTAGGTATTTATGAATGACTACCGCATTGTCAACACGTTCCGTTTTTTTAGGGAATAGAATGGCATATTTTTTATGGAAAAAATGCTTTGTTTTTTATTTCAATAAACGATTCTACTACCGAGTCTGAACCTCCTGTGTAAATTTGGGCACTTCTCAAAAAATCTCCCTGTATATGTAACATGTATCTGTCTACAGACATGTAAAAATATGTCCTCCGGCTACCTCACTCACCAGACGAAACGCGAAAGTATTTGTCATACTTCCACTTTACGCTGGTCTTCTGTGAGGTGGTGGTACTTACCCGGACGGGCCTGCCCATTCGTGCAACAGCCGAGGCTGCTGCGTGGCCCTGCCACCGTTCAAGATTTCGCATTCAAATACAGAGATATAGATTTCTAATATAATGTTCAAAACTCTTGTTAGTCCAGGTGTTTTGTTATATCGAAATAAATAATACACACTGACCAAGCGTTCCCGTAATCGAACACGCTCTTGGCTCTGTTCTCCTCCAGTTCCCTCTCCTTCTGTCTCCGCTTGGCGTTCTCCTCTATCTGCCTCTTCAGGTCGGCGGCGTACTGCTTCTGCTTCTGTTTCGACTTCAGCTCCTTTTCTAGGTCCCGCTTCTTCATCGACTCCAACCGAGAGACCATCTGGACAGGGTGAATGCTTATTTCAATCTATTTACTATAAGGCATAAATGACGTGGAGATTTGGCGACCCCATTGGCGTGGGGAGTGGTTAACCTGCCTCTTGCGTCAGGGGTGTGGGTTCGACCCTCACTACTGGAAAAATATTGTGCGCTGGACGTTGTGTTTTTCCACTGTCTGGGTGTTTATACAGGGTGTCGTTACTACCGCCACAAAAACACACGTCTAATGCTACTTGCCAATAATCATAAAAAAAATCGAAAAATATATATTTTTCAAACTAATTAAATAAAAAATAAAATTTGTAACATTCTATACAACTACAACTGACTGATTCATACATTCAGAGACTTTTACATTCATTGCCACAGCGTCGCATTAAAAGTCTCTCCTTCTAACAGTATGTTTTATCTCTTTTAAATTCATTCAGCCCATTCATATGCTTTGTGACCTTTACAAATGAACTTAACGTTACAGTTTTATATTTAAGGGTGTTCTAAAAAGTTTCGTTTTGTAAAATTTTATAACTCGGTAAATATTGATGTTTAAAGAATGTAAACGCTTAATACAATTTTAAAAAGTTATCCTCTATATGTGTGTTCACGGTATTTATTGTCGCGGTTGTAACGACACGCTGTATACCTATAATATGTATTTATTTACAAATGAAAAGTATGTTTATTAGATATCTAGTACACGTAGTACAAGCGTTGCTTTGTTTAAAACGTTGCTTCGTTTGGCAACTTTTCGCACAGGACTAGAGAACGTTGTGTAAAAATGTGTCCGAACAAAAAATAAAATAAATCGGCAGGTCCATCATTATACAATAAAAACTACTTCATAATTGTTGTAGGCGCTTGAACACGCCTGATTCCCGTTACGCCAGTTCCCTGTATCTCTTGGTCCCAGTACCACCTGGTCCCTATACCAACCGGTCCCTTTACCACCTGGCCTCAATACCCCCGGTCCCTATACCACCCGACCCCTATACCACCCGGTCCCTTTACCACCTGGTCTCTATACCGCCCGGTCCCTATACCACCCGCCCCTTTATCACCTGATCCCTGTATCTCCGATCCTCCTCCTCGCCCTGGACCCTGGCCCTGGCAGCCTCCTCCAGCTGCCGCTCCAGCGCCTCTGCCGTGGCCCTCCTGGCCCCCTCGCGGCCCCTCCTGTCCGCCTCCTCCTGCTGGATGGCCATCTCCAGGTGCTCCTGCTCCCGCAGCATCCGGATGATCTCCTCCCGCTCGCGGACACTCGCCATTTTCGCCCAAAAACTGGCCATTGCTCGATGGTAAATACCTAAATGATAAAATAGTATCTGTAGATTTTGTTACTGGAGATAAGATTTTTGAGGTTAGTATTATAAAGCTTATGTCAAATACCTATCGCTAGTAACTACAACGAGGGATATACATTTTGTTGAAACCCACCCTTAGACGATTATTGCGTAGGTCAATAACACTGTGCTCGATTTCATGAAATATCACAAACAATTTTGGGAAATATCAATTATCGCTTAGCAAAATGCTAGATAAAAAGACATACATAAAATTTATTTTTAAAGTTAAACTTAGAGTAAGTTAGTAAATTAAAGTAAAAATTAGGTAAAACTATATGATCACAAGTAATTAGTATATTATACTTGTTTACTAGGGGTTTTGCGTGATGTCTGATACATGATTCCCGACAAAGACTTGCCATCGGCTTGGTTGAGACTGTAGCCAAGACAAAACAACCATAGAATCAGTCCAAGCGTAAATTCTATCCATCGAAATGTTGAGTAAATTAGATAGATCGTGCAATAACTTGGCTAACAGTACTGCGGCACACAGTTCCAGTCTGGGAATCGTTAATTGTTTTAGAGGTGCTACTCTTGTTTTTGAAACTAACATACTTACGTGAATATTGTCGTCTTCGTCCACAACTCTAATATAAACTACTGCTGCAAGTGCTAAGGAAGAGGCATCAGAAAATCCATGAAGCTGAATATCGCTGCTGCTAGATGTGGTTTTTATCCAGCGTGGTATCTCTACTACAGTATCTAATTTATGAAGTTCGTCTCTATAACTCTCCCATTCTTCAACCAACTCTGGAGGAAGCTCATCATCCCAGCCGAGACTACACAGCCACAACTTCTGAATCATAATTTTAGCAGTTATAACAACAGGTGAGAGCCATCCAAATGGATCAAATAAACTGGCCACTTCGGATAATATTGTTCTTTTGTTGTAGGTTGCTTGGTTTCTGGTAAGTTGACTGAAACATGGAATGTGTCATCTTTTCTATCCCAGGTAAGTCCTAATATTTTTATTACCTTGTCTAGTTTAATCTCTTTTTTATCTTTTACAGGTTCTGAACTCTTTGTGTCGTGTTGCAGTACTTCCAACAGCTCTTCCGAATTACTTGACCATTTTTGCATCTGGAAACCTCCTGCCTTCAACAGTTTGTTAATTTCATTACATGTGGTCTGCAATTCAGTGAGGTTATCATGACCGGTCATAAGGTCGTCCATATAAAATGAATTTTTTACCACAACTGCTCCGAGAGGATACCGGTGTTTTTCATCATCCGCCAAACGATGCAGAGTACGTACCGCCAGATACGGTGCCGCTGCTGTTCCAAATGTCACGGTAAGTAGTTTGTAGCTTTCAATGTGTTGAGATACGTCATCACGCCATAGTATCCGTTGTAAATTTGTGTGTTTGTCCGTCATTTTCACTTGGCGATACATTTTTACAATATCACCAACAGCACAGAATTTGTACGCCCTCCAACGTATAATCAAGTTGCGGAGATCTGGTTGTATTGTGGGTCCTATCATCATACTGCTGTTTAAGGAGTGCCCATTCGAACCCTTAGCTGATGCATCAAAGACTACACGCAGCTTAGACGTATCCTTATCTTCTCTTATGACAGGATGATGAGCTAGGAACAGACTTTCATTTTCATCTTCTTTTTCAGCTTTCTTCATGTGCCCCAGTTCTAGGTATTCATGTATAACTTTCTTGTATTCTAGTTTTAAGTGTTCATCTCTTTCAAATTTCCTTTCCAGCTGCTTCAACCTTAATGCAGCCTGCTGTCTAGTGTCTCCGCATGACTTCACTGTTTCTTCAATCGTGTTCTTCAGCGGCAGCTGTACCACATATCGCCCGTCGGCGTCTCTAGTGGTAGTGTTCTGGTAGATTTCTTCACACTTTTCTTCTTCCTTACTCCATATGTTTTGTTTTGTGAATAATTCTGATTCTACTTCCCAGAAATTCTTCAATAAATTATTGTCTTCTTTCACCTGACGTGTTATGTGTAAACTTGTAATGCGCTGTGAAACTTTAAAAGGCGGTGCATTAATATCTCCCGACAAAATCCAACCCAGATGTGTATTCTGAGCAACTAAGTTGCCAGGTCCTCTAATGAAACCTGAGTCTAGGATATGTCCAAACACGTCAGCCCCGAGAAGAATATCTATTCTACCCGGTATGTTAAAAGTAGGATCGGCTAACTCCATACTGTTAAGTTGCGGCCAACTGTAACCTCTAATTTCTCTAGCCGGTAACCTACGAGTTAAAGACTTTAATATGTATGCATTAACATTGATAGAAAAATTATTATCATACCTTGACTTAAGTTGTAATCCTACCATGTGTTTGATGCTTGTCTGGTTACCCTCACCAACGCCAGAGACTACTCCGCTGATTTCGGTTTTCTTTAAACCCAGCAACTCGACCGCCCTCGCGGTCACGAAGGAAGCCTCGGACCCCTGATCAATTAGAGCACGGAAGACGTGTGACTGCCCTGACTTCGACTTTACGTCCACCAGTGCTGTGGCGAGCAGTATATTTTGACCAGGTTGTGATATGCTCGTTGTATGCGCCATAAACATAGATTGTTTTTTATCTTCATTATTTTGTGTTTCCTCAGATGTATGCGATTCTTCACCTGCTTGTAGCTTGTCTCGATGTAGCAAAGAGTGATGTTTCTTTTTACATATTTGACACGTTGTTCTTTGTTTACATTTATACACACTGTGGTTCGGAACTAAACAGTTGAAACATAGGTTGTTTTTCTGCACAAAATTGTACCTTTCTTCTAACGGTTTCTTAGAGAACTGTTTACATTTATAAATGTAATGATTTTCTTTACAAAAGCTACATCTTAGTTCTTTATCCGCCGTAACGTGAAACGATTTTGGTTTGATAAGTTTATAAGTCTTATTTACGGGTTCTATCATCTCCAACGTACGAAAGCGAGTTTCCAAGAATGATTTCAATCTTTCAAAACCGGGGATATGATCGGTTGTATCGCTGCTGATGAATTCTTCCCACTGCTTATGCGTACTAGGATCCAACTTAGAAACGACTATAAAATTGATAATTGCGTCCCACTGCTGTGTCGGTAAACCTATGTTCTTAAGTGCACTCATGCATTCCACTGACGTATCAAGTAGCTGTCTTAACGCCGTAGCTGATTCATGAGAAATTGACCTTTGTGCAAAAAACCTTTTGAAAATCGAGTTTGCGATGTATCTTTTATTGCTATATCGTTTTTGCAGGATCGACCAAGCTTCTTCATAGTTTTCTCCAGTAATCGAAAATTGACGTAATAATTGCTCTGCCTCTCCTGATAAACTGCCTTTTAAGTAGTGCAATTTCTGTACTGTTTCTAATGACTCATTATTATGCACTAATGCAATAAATAAGTCATGGAAAGATTGCCACTCTGTGTAATTTCCGTTGAAAGATGGAAGTGAAATAGGTGGTAATTTTACATCACCTTTAGATGTGCTTGGCTTACTTATCTCCTTTGTGTCACAGTTTTCAAGAACAATCAATTTACACTTCATTTCGCCTTTATACAAATAGTATACTTCTTCAAACTCGGTGAATATGTCATTGGCAAAATACTTTAATGTTGTTCGATCCTCTTTAGACACCGATAATACGAGTTTTTCATGTAAACTCTTAAAATCTCTCCAGTAACCTTCTAGTGTGTCTAATCTGCCCTTAACGTAGCCAACAGTAATTCTATCTATAGGTGACTTCTTGTAGTTAATATACGCCTTTTTCACTTTTTCTAATGAATCTTCCTGAAGCAACGCTTGTTTTTCTATTTTCTCCATTGTATTGCGAAATATAATAGATGCGTAAACGTTAAAAGTCTATAATGTACCACGGAACCGTTAAATTGTTTAACACGTAGGTCTACACTTTGTTTTTACAAGATGGCGCATTCATTGTACACGTATATAACGTTTCAACCAATGTTCGGGTACGATAGGAACGTTGCAGCGTATAGTCCGTACACAATAAATAATAGTGGCACGTTCTGAAGAAGATGCGTCGAAAAATGATTTGCAAAAAAAAAACTTAAATGTTCCGTTCCTTAATGTTCTTTTGTTTTCAATTATGTGTGTATTCACTATTGTCACTTGTATTAATCACTATTAGTCCAAAATTGTTTGTATTTTCACCAATTTACATCGATTTTTACTTCACGAATGATTTTATTATAGGTCACTGTCAATGATCCTCGGTCGATGGACCATGTTTACTAGGGGATAAGGTTCACACTTTCGTGTGCAGGTGTTTGTTTACAGAAACGCGACTAGTTACTCTGAGGAATTTATTAGAACTAACTTACGACAAAAGGTTGACATTTTTAAAAATATGAAGGTAGGTATCGACACAATCGCTTTCTGTCTCGCTCTTACTACGCGACACTCAAGCTCTCGAAGCCAACTTCACCACTAAGCCCATTTAAGTTTACTAGACCAGATAGTATCCACTTTTAGCACAATTTCGTAAATCAAAAATTTGTGTAAACTTTTAGATGCATAACATAGAAGTATACGTATTAATACTTAAAATACACACATATACATATAGAAACTTGAATACACGACAAAAAAAAACACTAGCGAAAAGTAACAATATCGCTAGAGTTGGAAATGAAATTAAAAAAATAATCTATAAATTGGATGTGAACTTTAGTTATCACCTAATGATGGAGTCATTTGGAAATTTTCAATCATCCAGTCCCAATCGCGATCTTAAAACATCATGAGGTTTAAAACCATACGGAGCTTGCAAAAGAATATATGCAAATTTCCACTCACATAGCCTGGTCTCTATCGGACGCAGCCTTCTTTTGCTCCTCTATCTTCTTCTCTTCTAGCACAAGGAGTTCCCTCTGCTTCATTTTCCAAGCCTCGCGGGCCTTCTTGAAGGTTTCCATTTCATTACGCAACTTTTCTGTCTGCTCCCGTTTCTGTTTCAGCTCTCTGAAAAGTCATAACAGGAACTTACAGTTATATAATGACAAAGACATACATAATGACAAAGATGGGGCTCTAACTATGATAGAGCCACGCAACCGTTCTCAGTGTTACTTGAATAGGCAGGTGTGTCCAGAGGAGTACCACAGCGTCAAAGAAGACTGGAGTGAAGTGGAAGTGTAACACTACTTCGTTTCGTCTGGTGAATGAGGTAGCCAAGACCCACATTGATAAAAAGTGGCAATGCACCTGCAACCTTATGGATGTTGCAAATGGCGATGGGCAGCAGTTATCACTTAACATCAGGTGAACCGCCGGATTGTTTGCCCCTTTCTCACATAAAAAAAGAGAAGAAAAATATTGAACATTCATTCACATTTATATTGTGGATCAATCTTATAATTTCTTGCTTTAATTACTTTGAATACAATAGTATTCAAAGTAATGCAGTTTCAAGTAAGTTTCAGTAGTTAAATTGTTTTCTAACAAAGAAGGTAACTCAGGCCCACCTACCCTCCTTTGTAACATAGCTGGTGAGCAGTTTTAACCATTTTAAATAATCGAAGCCAAGGTGTCCCAGAATGGATCTCATAGTTAGTTTATAGTATTAAGTATAACCCATAATAAATCATCTAGCGTTAAGAAAACTTCTCACCTTTGATCTTCATCAGCCAAGGTCCTCATTACATCTTCCAACATCTTCTTCTCAATTAACATTTCCTCATACTGACATTGCCTTACCCTTTGCTTGTTCACCAGCTGTTGTTGCATCTCTTGGCAATATTTTATTTTCTTCTCCATTCTTTCTCTTTCTTCTTTCTCTTTAGCCTCTGTATTGCTCAAGAATGAACTTTCAAGAGTTCTATTTGATTGTTTTTCTTCTGCCTACAATAAAACAAATGTATGAAACTTTTTAGTGTCAACATGGAGGTTGATATGAATTCTATACTGAAAGAATTTTTGTAACACTGTGTTTTCAAAGTTAATCAATAGGTTATTGTTATTATTGTATCTATTATTTAGGTTTTTGTTCTTATTATATGTTCAAATTTTTGTTTATTGTTATTCATTTTGAAATGTGTCATTTAATCTTTGAGTGGTATCTAGCTACTTACTTGAAAGTATAATATTTACCACTTTAATAATTACATCATTCTGAATATGTTACTTACTTTTCTTTGCAATTGTCTATACTCATTATCTAAAATCTGCTGCCTTAGGTCTTTGCAAACATAACCAGCCTGCAATTTCTTCAACAACTCCCTTAGTGCTGGGTCGTGTTCACGTAAATAATGACGACGGAGCAGTTGACATGCTACTTCTTGACTCTGCTTAGCAATTTCTGTTCCTAATGCAATTTCCTTCTCTGTTCTCGCATTAACTATGGCTGCATGATCAGTCCTCTGGCATTTTGTACATGAAATTAAATGTTTAAAATAATTTAAGAAACGCAGAAGTGTACCACTTCCACATCACGCTGGTATTCTGTAAGATTTAGGTACTTCCCTGGACGGGCCTACCAACTGTTGCAAATACTACCACAGTATTCACAGGTAAAAAAGTATATTTAAGAAATGTTATTAAATATTATGGTAATTCGCATATTTAAAGCACTACACCTCTTGAAAATCTTTTTCCATCTTGGCCTCTTGACTGATACGAGCAAGATGTCGCCCCATCCGACTATCATCCATTCGACTGTTGAGCCATTGGATATCCAAAGCTCGCTGATACGTCTCCAACTCCTTACGCCTTGCTTCTGCTATTGCATTTCTTTGTAATTCGTTTTTTCGGCTCCTACATGTTTATTTTAAAGAAATTTAATACACTTTCTAAATATTAAAAGGAAATAATGGCTTTGGTGTAATATTACCAGGGGGGGTCAGCAAACACGTTAATCGAAAACGATTATAAAATTATTTTACAAAGTAGTTAATAGCATGAGTCATTTTTGAGTTTGACAGCTTCTTGCCGTGTTAAGAAAAGGAATACACAGCCTAATTTATTGACATTTGTTAAAAAGTATTAATTATAAATAAATAAATAAACTGCAAGATATTGTCATTTCAACGATTATTGTCATAGGAAAAGGAAGGAAACAACGAAACAGCCTAATTTATTGGACATTTGTTAAAAAGTATAATTAAATAAATAAATAAACTAATAATAGAAAAAAAATTAATCATTGCACGATTCGTAAAAAATAGATATAACACGCTCTAGAAAAGAGCGAGAAAACCAAGATGTAATTTTTCGCAGTGCCATCTAACGTTGGTATTTCGTAGTTATGCAAATATCTTCTCATCGTTCTGGAAGAAAATGCAAGCATGGGCACGATCCTAATTAGGTAGAAAGTTTTACAACTGTTATCGGGAATGTAAATTTTATTGGTGTAAATTATTGGTTATTGGCTACGTCCAATTCAACGGCCAAACAAAGACTTTGCATATTTTTTAAAACAATAAATAGCCTTCCTTTTTTTTAATTATTTTGTTACATAACAAGTCTCCAAAATCGGTTTTTATATTTATTTAAAATTCCAATAGTAGGATTTGGGATTTTTAGAAGGCAAGACCCTCCCTAAAAAATACAATGGCCGATTGTTGTTTTGTCCGTTGACCAGTTTCTTTAAGTTTGAAATTGCGCTACGGTAATTTTACTGAATTTAACTGGTATTTTCAGTTTTGTGTTATTAATTGCGAGAAAGAAATTATTGCGAAGTGGACGCTTTTGTGTTTTAGTGGAGATAGTGTTGTGATTTGTGAGACAGAGACTCTTGCGATATTGACGCTTTTTTAATTTTAATTTAGACCTTAAATAGTACTGTAAGAACCCTTTGATAATGACAGGGAAAAGAAGCATGATTTGTGCTAAGTGCGGCATAAATTCGAAGGACGATTCTTCTTTGACCTTTCATAGATTTCCTCTGCCATCCGTACGTGACTCTCTAAAGTAAGTAGATTTGGATATTTATTTACGAATTAAATCATTTTATACTTTATGCTACTATATTTTATATTTTATCTTATAAATAATAACATGAGCATTGACTATTTAATTGTGTTTGGGCCAGCAACAGTTTTCACTGTTGCCTGGCCTGTGTCCGTTCGGGATAGTACTACCGACCACGACCTCACAGAAAACTTGCGTAAACTAGAAGTGTTAAACTTCTGCGTTTCGTCTGGTGAGTGAGGTAGCCGGGGCCCACCTTATTTAAAGGTGGCGACGTATTTTCAATCCTACGGGGTTGCAAATGTCCATGGGTTGCTGTTATGACTTAAACTCTGGTGAACTACCAGCTCGTTTGCCACTTTCTCACATAAAAAATATAAAATGTAAATAATTTCCCAAATTGATTTCAGAGCCAAAGTTTGGGCCAAGTTCTGCTTCCCGGATGAAGATTGGACATCTGACCAATCTCTGCGTAGTTTGTACAAGCAGCATAAGATGCTATGTGGTAAACATTTTGATGATTCATCATTCACCAACAGCGATAGAAAAAGAATGAATAAGTTTGCCATTCCAAATGAAGCTCATTACATATTGGCAGAGTTAAGAAATAAGTTATTTAATTCATCTGCAGAAAAACCCATAACACAGGTAAGCATTTCTGATATATAAGGTAATTTTGTAGAGGAGCTATTTTGCTACTAAATTAGTAACCCAGATATAATTTTGCTATACATAAGCCAAAATCGATTCAAAATGTTAAGTAACAAACAGTTACCAACACACACAACATTTGACAAGAATTATGAATATTAATAATTATTATTAAAGTTAAACTTACACAATTTTTATACTGTTAATATATCTGGTGATGACATACACTTATGGCGATGACAATAAGGCAAAGAGAAGTAATCTGTGTGACCTGATTTAGCTAGTTGTTTAAATGCAGGGTTTTTAAATTACTTTCTAATTAATTACCAATATGGACATAATTATATCCATACTTGAAAGAAAATTAATTTGTCATGCAACTCCCAGCAACAGATTGTTTAGAATATAAATAATTTATAATTAAGAAATTCATTCGATCCAAAGTAATGGTGGTAGATATTTAATTCATTTCTAAATTAACACATCACTTGATTTTATAATGGGTCCTTTTTACCTTTTGTCAATGACATTAAATTTTCATTATACAGTTTGAGGATTATATCAACCTTGTAAATAATTTCATAGGTAGTTATTGTGGTACTTTTTGTGTTGCCAATAATAATGATAGTAAGTAGGTTTGAAGGGGATATAGGTTCTCACTACATGTCAAAATGTGTATATGACAATCATTAGATATTCATATCTAAATAACAATTATTACAGATGGATCATGGTGCTTCAACTAGTACTTCACAGAATTCAATTTCTATGGAATTTGTTAACGAAAATAAACTGTCTACCCAAAATTTGGCTAAGGTAATTTGAATACAATAATCATAATAATATTTATTTATATTTAAGTATATTATTACTACCTCATGGCAGTCTATGGGGAAGGCCTATGTTCGGCAGTAGACTCAAGTAGACTGAAATGATGATGTATATTATTTAAGTATACCAATACTGACTATCCCAGCTGGCTACAAAATTTTGCTCCGAGACCAGTATTATAATAAACACACTTTGTTATCTTTTAGAAGTTGGCCCAAAGGCATTCAATATAAGCAAAACACAACAGCTGAAAGAATGGTTTCTTTAAGCTGTTTTCTTTTCTCACAATTATCTACAATGAAATAAATAAGATAAAAAAAATGTAGACTCAATTGAACTTGCATTATTGTGTGCATAATTATGGTGCTTATCAATTTTTTATGTTTACAGGAATCTCATAAAAATCATGGGATTATAAAGGAAATTGATGTCAAAACCTTAGCCGATTTAACACCCAGAGAGCAACAGTTGTATAAACGATGCAGGAAAAACTTAACTGAAATTTTAAGACTGAGAAAAAAATTCGCAAAAGTTAATAAGCAAAGTAGAAATTTTATTAGTTCTTTAGAATCAAACAGTGCTGTTAATAACATTATTAAAAGTAAATTGAGTTACTCATCATATTTGTTACTGCAAAGCCAGCTAAAAAATAACTCAAGAAAGCTAGCTGGACGGAGGTGGACACTGGATGATAAAGTTTTGGCCTTGAGCATATATAAAAAAATCCAGTTCTTGCTACAGGCTTCTTCGAAGGTTATTTTGTTTACCCAGCATTAGCTCACTTAAGTCTTTACTCAATAAAGTACCAATGCAGTGTGGAATAAATGATCAAATAGTTCACACTATTAAAGACATAACAGAAAAAAGAACTGTTGAAGAGAATTTGTGCATGTTGGCTTTTGATGAAATGGCTATTAGAAAAAATCTTACATACAACATTAAACTGGACCAAATTGATGGTTATCAAGATCATGCTGCACAGGGACGGACCGAACAAGTAGCAAGCAAAGCTTTAACTTTTATGGCTATAGGAGTCAGAAAAAATTGGAAACAGCCAATAGCTTTTTATTTTTCTGGAGCTTATGTTACAGCAGACAGGCTTGCTATAATTATCAAAGAGGTGAGTTTTTCCCTATTAGTAAACATGTGGAATAAAGAATTAAGTAACTGTTGAACAAATGAGGCATCATAGCCTAAGCCGGAAGCAACCAGCTAAATGGCAAGCAATAATAGTATAATTAAAACAATTCTGTTTTTTCAGGTCTTGAACACATGTTTTACATGTGGGTTGATAGTAATTGGCACAGTATGTGACTGTGATCTAGTAAATTTACGCGCCCTCAACTTATTGGGGTCTACAAAAATGAAACCATTTTTTGATTATGATGGTCATGAAATTGTTACTGTGCTGGATCCACCCCATCTTTTAAAATGCTTCAGAAATAATTTCATGAAGCATAATGTGGTATTTCCTGAAGACATTCAGATTGATGGGCAGCAGAAAACAGGTTGGTAATAATAAAAATAATAATTACTTATTGATTAGAATATTATTGTATTACACTCTACTGTACCCATAAATATTATAAAATTTGTTTTAAACAAAATACAATAGACTTTTATAAACATAATTTTGTAACAAAGTTTCAAACTATCACAAACATATCAGTAAAACCTGAAGTTACAATTACAGAAAATAATCCATTAACTAGAAAAATCTCTCTCTTGTTTTAATTGTTATAAATATTTCCCTTACAGGAGTAGCTAAATGGATCCATATAGAAAAATTTTATAAATTGGAGAAAGCAAACCCGAATTTTTTTTTTGGAATTTTGTTTTTGCTCCTGCATTGACCCAACAGCACTTGCAGCCAAATGGCAAACAGAAAATGAAAGTTCGGTTAGCAGCACAAATCTTGAGCCATTCTGTTGCAGCAGGATTGTATGCCAAAATAGCTCTTAGTAAGTTTCAAGATTTATTACATATTATACAGCATGGCTTTACAGCGGTGACAATAAATAAACACACTCTTTATGCTACTTGCCAATAATTATAAAAAATATAAATGTTAAAAAAATCCATAATTAAAAAAAATTTAATTTTCAAACAAACTTATTAAACATTAAAATTACTTAATAAAAAACAAACAAAAATTAAATCTCTATATGCGTTGATTTTTGGTCGCGTTAGTAGCGTTACTTTATATTATACAGTGTAAACTTCATGTCGAAATCACTTGGCTTTGGTTGGTTTAGCTTTTCTTCCATACAATGATACACTTAATATAACATTACACCCACTCTATAACGATAACAATTAAGTAATAAAAAGTACCTTTGAAGTTGCCAAAATTTTAAGAAACTGCGCAGCTGTGTACGTTCTTTTGTCGCTTTTTTATCCTAGTCCATAATAAACTCGACTGTCGGCCTCATGCATACAGAACTTTCTAAGAAATTCGGATATTGGATTATTAGAAAAGTACTTCCTTTATCACCAAGACGCTTTAATATCGCAAGACATGAATAAAATAAGCAAAAAAAAAAATACAGCAAAATTACTGGTGCAGCAAAAGACGTCAAACAAAAATAATAGACTATACGTAATAGTGTTTAAATAAGATTGTTTTTCATGTACATAACTACTAGCACTACTCTACAGCGTGTCAATACAATCGCGACAATAAATGAACACGCATATAGAGGATAACATTTTATAATTGTATTATTTTAATTTTTTTAAATATCAATATTTACAGAGTTATTAAACTTTCCAAAATAAAGAATTTTAGAAAACCCTTACATATAAAACTGTAACGTAAATTTCATTTGTAAAAGTTACCAATCATATGAATGGGTTGAATCAATTTAAAAGAGACAACATACTGTTAGAAGGAGAGGCTTGTAATGCGACGCTGAGGCAACGAATGAAAAGTCTCTGACTGTATGAATCAGTCAGTTGTAGTTGTATAGAATGTTACAAATTTTGTTTTTTGTTTTACTTAATTAGATTGCCTGAAATTTATTTTTTTTAATTACGGATTTTTTTAACGTTATTATTTTTTTATTGGCAAGTAGCGTTAGACGTGTGTTCATTTATTGTCGCGATGGTAACGTCACGCTATATATAGAAATGAGAATGTAATTTATTTGTAAAAAATTGTTGAGTAATCACTTCCGTTTGCCATTAGGGTTCAGGAGTTCAGTTGCTAAAGAATACACACAATTTGTTTTAGATTCAAAACTACATATTACATTCAAAATTACATATGGAAATAACAGCTAAAGAATACCATATTTTTTTACAGACGAATTACCACAAGAGGCAATCGCAACAGCAGAAGTTGTCTCCAAACTGGACAAGCTGTTTGATGCAGTTAATGGAGACACTCCAGATAGGAAAAGAGGAAAGCCTCTATTAACAAACATGTCCTCAACCAGCCCTCACTTAAATTTTTTTAATGAAATGAAAAAATTTTTTACTGAAGTTAAGTTTTTGGGTGCTAGAAGCAATCCCCCTTCTCAGGATGGCTGGTTGAGGACAATTAATGCAATTGAAAAACTATTTTTTAATTTAAAAAAAACAAGGCATTAATTCATTATCTTTACGAAGGCTTAATCAAGACCCCCTCGAAAATTGTTTTGGTTGCATAAGGTCAAATTGTGGTGCAAACCCTAATCCGACGTCAGTTCAGTTTATTGCAGCATTGAAAACCAGTATAATAACAAATTTAATAAATAGTAATAAAAACAGAAACTGTTTGGATGATAGCAATGGCTTGCTTAATAATTTTAAAATTTTTCTGAATAAAGGAACAAATGACACAAAATTATCTTTTGAAGAATCAGAAAAAGAAAACTCTTTTACACTTCCAGTCAAAACAACAGAATGTGTAAAAGAGTTAAAAGTGATACCTGAATGTTCTGGAGAAATGCAAGCATGTGCATATGTGTCTGGTTTCATAGTCAGAACCATGGAAATTAACTGCAAAGACTGTAAAAATATTTTTCTTTCTGACCAAAATACTGAGATATGTCATTTGTTCACTTCATTCAAAGAGTATGAGGAAAAGGCAAGCCTTAATTATATTCATCCCAATCTCTGTAAACTGGTTGAAAATGCTGCAACTTTAATAAATGACTTCTTAAATAAAAATTCTTTTAAACGAAATGTAAAAGTAAATTTAAGAAAAATATGTGAAAATATTAATTATAACTGGCTGAACGGGTGTAAGGTACACCAATATTTAAATAAAGAAAAAATAGTTGAAAATACAATGGCAATATGCATAAAACGGTTTTGCATCAACAAAAATCGAGGGTTCATTGAGGAAGCTTGCGATTGTGATCGAGCGATATTGTACACCTTGTTTACTTACACTCAGCTGACTTCGACGTCTTCGGGGTGCTTTATCGCCAGCGCGCGCCTTATCATTTCCAGGGTATTGCGGCGACTATTTATAGTTCGCAGCAGACAAGATAAATTTGGATAGTGGAGACCTGGCTCCACGGATTTTATCAAGATTGTATGGTGGTTGGTTGTAAATCGCTTTTTTACAATCAGATTACTTATGTTAATATGTATAATAATTTGTAGCATTCTAGATCATAGAAATGTGTTAAGTTTTATAAATAACCCACTTAGCAGCAACAATACACTATAGATTGTCACAGAATTGTGCTATACCTGTATCAGATACATCCTAAAATCTACAAATCAGAGTAAATGAAGATTACATCTTATATTTTGAGTTTTATAGAACCATAAATCTCTCAAATAGTTTTAGCCATAATTAACTTTATTATATGGCATAAAAGTTTCTTTCATACTCATGTATGCAGTATTAAGGCTGTTGACCTATTCTGGCAATTAGCCCACCTGTCTCCAAAATACCTTCAGTTTGCTAGCACGTTGGTAGGAATATATACATACTGCAATATTTGTTTCTAAGTTTGGAAATTGTTGCATTTTTTATCCGTTTTGAAATTTTAAATTTGCTATTAAATTAAATGGTTATGATGAATCAGATCCTTAACTATGGACATTTAAGAAACTAGGCAACCTTGAAAAGGTGAAAGTTATACAATTAATTTAATTGACAAGTTCAAGATTGTTTTTTTATCTGGTAAAAACACATGAGTAGAATTATCAATTCTGAGCTGTCTTGTCTAAGCTTTTAGTGACATATTATTTAAAACTATTTTTTTTTTGTTAACAACAATGTCTTATCTTAACATAAGTTTTTAAAACATTAATAGAAAATTGACAAAAAGAATCTAAGGTATGAAATATTATCTATAGTAAGTACTATAGGATAACAAGTGCAATCAAATATATTCTTCTCTCAATTATAGGGGCCCAAACTTGTCAATTGTTTAAATTGTATTAATTTGTCCCAGAACTTATGGATCTTGTTAAAATTAGAATCGATAAATTGTATTTGCACAAATAGGTATGTAGGTGCACTTAAGCAGTTACCTTTCCCTTTAGGGTATAAAAAATATTTAGAAACAGACCGCATTTTCGACGGAAATTGCTTATAGAATATAGCTTTTTTTTTATGCCAAAAGTTTTTCAAACGAGCAGATGGTTCACCTGATGTTAAGTGAATACCGCCGCCCATGGACATCTGCCACACCCGAGGGTTACAGATGCGTTGACAACCTTTTGAGAATTGGGCTCCGGCTGCCTCACTCACCAGACGAAACGCGAAAGTCCTTGTCATACTTCCACTTTACGCTAATCTTCTGTAAGGTACTTACCCGGACGGGCCTGCCCATTCGTGCAACAGCCGAGGCTGCTGCATGGCCCAGCCACCGAAAAGTTTACTGCTCAATTTAAACTTTATCAGCTTAACTTTCCTATTTTACTTTAGGTTGTGCTCAGTAATCTTAAACAGTTGTAACTACACGACAATCAATGTACTCTTTGTTGCAGTTAACTCTAGACAATCATAAAAACTATGAGAAGGCATATTTTTTATTGTTTGCACAAATATGTATAAATGCTTAAAAATTTTTGATGCTGCTAGGAAATCCATGCTACCATTTGATTTTCATCTCTAGTGCAATTGCTACACTGCATCTAGTTTCATGATTTGTTAATTATGTGTTAAAAATAAAAAAAAATAATAGCAAATATTTAAAAATCTCCATAAAGTAAAGTCAAGTCCAGTGTGCGAAAAATGAAAAATGTTGTACATTACAATGCATTAAAATAATTATTAAAATGTTAGACTTTAGACTTGACGGCAAAAAAATATGGCGGCACGAAGTTCGCCGCGTCGCTAGTTTTGTACATTTATCTCTTCACGAGCCCAATCACAAAATATTGAATGCCTTATTTAACATTGTCTTATTTCTCTTCAACGCACTTTGTTTCTCAAACACTTATCGTCTTTATCTCCCATTGAAAGTATCAAACGGGTGTTCTTATCGAGTGTTTTATCTTCGGTTAGCTCTCATCTCGTGTCTTTGAACGCCCCACAAGAGACCCTTATGAAGCCCTCGGCTTACGATCGCTCGCTAAGCTGTAATTCTGGAGAAATTTGTGATCTACAGTTTAGAAGGATTTTAGTTTCTATTTATGATAATGTGAGATTTTGCGGCTCTTTTCCGAAGGTTCCGTCGATGCGAAAGGGTGGCAAACAGGTTGTTCACATAACGAACATCTAAAAGAGTTAGCCCAGTTTACGTCAATTACCTGGTGAATATACAGGGTGTCGTTACCATCGCGACAATAAATGAACACACATATAGGGAATAAATTTTTAAAGTTGTATTAAACATTTAAATTCTTTAAACATCAATATTTACAGAGTTATTAAATTTTCCAAAACAAAGAATTTTAGAACACCCTTACCTATAAAAGCGTAACGTAAAGTTCATTTGTAAAGGTCACAAAGCATATGAATGGGTTGAATGAATTTAACACACTGTTAGAAGGAGAGGCTTGTAATACGACGCTGTGGCGCGAGTTGTATAGGATGTTACATATTTTGTTTCTTTTTTTACTTAATTAGTTTGTTTGAAAAATATTTTTTTTTAATTATGGATTTTGTTTAACGTTAATATTTTTTATGATTATTGGCAAGTAGCGTTAGACGTGTGTTCATTTATTGTCGCGATGGTAACGACACGCTGTAGAAGCATAATGCTTCCATTCTTCGTCGGCGATACTATCCGCGAGGTCGTGGTACTTTCTTACCCTGACAAGCCTGCTTTTTTATGTGAGAAGTTGTCAAGCGAGCAGGCGGTACCTGATGTTAAGTGAATACCGCCGCCCATGGACATCTGCTACACCCGAGGGTTGCAGGTGCGTTGGCAATCTTTTAAAAATTGGGCTCCAGCCACCTCACTCACCAGACGAAACGCGAAAGTATTATACTTCCACTTGACGCCGGTCTTCTGTGAGGTCGTGGTACTTACCCGGACGAGCCTGCTGCGTGAACCTAACACCGTATAAATCACCTGCTCATCAGGAACAGCAGACGTGGCCCTTTAAAGTAAAAACCTATGATATGACGTACGTGAATTTTAAGTTTATGTGAATTCATGTATAAGAAATAAGTTTCACTTTAAGTACCAGATAATATCCAATTTTTAGTAAATCTAAACTGTTACTTTGAACCGTTTAACTGCGACTTGTTTGGAAGGAATGCGACTGCTGTTATCCCGTTTTACATATAATAACTAGCTATTCCATACGAAATCATCCGCTGGAAATGCTTGTGCTTCGCCACCGTAGGTCGCAGCGTCATGTTAAATACCCTATAACCTTCCTTAAGTATTGGGCTATCAAACTCCGAAAATATTTTTTCAAATACGGCCGGTAGTATTTGTGATTAGCGCGTCCGAACAAACAAACTAACTTTTCAGCTTCATTATATTAGCAAGTACAGATGTTATTTTTATCGCGCTGTCGCACTGTATAAAATAGGCGCTTAACCTTTTTTTATCGCAACCAAACTAGTAAGCCCAAACATTAACATTCGGCAACGCATTTGCGACTCCACAAGTGGGCATCTCCACGATGGGTGACGTCTGCTGCCTATTCCTTCCGACATAAAAATATATGTCGCCATATTTCAAATACTGTTTAAATGGTATGCTTCTTGTGTTATAACCGCTCAGATTGACACAAACAAGTAGTAATACGTTGCGTTTCGTATGTATAGATAACTTGATTAAACGCTTGACCGTAATGTACCGCGTATGGATTATTGTTAGATTTAATCCAATGTAAACAAGAGTTGAACTTCATAAACCTGCGTTCGTGAACTGTTTATCGATATAAATTATTGACTTGTTAAAATACCTAATGTGTAGTGAAGCTAACAGATGTGTGTGTTCTGAACTTGAAGCTATTCCCGAAATTTCACTCGGGCCGATGGGGAATCGGTGATTACTCCTAATTCCAAATCTCGGCGCTGTGCACCGTTAACTTTTCCGCTTTCCTGAGCCCCCTGTGTTTGAACCGTGTGCATCACTTAAAACGATCGTTAATGCACTCTCTCACCCCAACAGGCGTAAAGGAACGGGAGGTCGTTTCTATTATCGTCTCAATAAAGATAAAATATGCACTGAGCTCCAACGAAACTAGTTTCATCACCCTTTTAAGGTTCCCGATTAAAAACGGAACCGCTTAATAATAATTTTTTCACCTCTGTGTCTCTATTTTCTTAATTTTTTTAGAGAGAGAGCGATCTGGCGAATCAGAATCGGCGCAGATTCAGTTATATTGTTGAAATTCATATTATGAACTACAAACCCGTTCTACGGTCTCCTCATTCTATATAATAGTTTAAACTCCCTAGACAATTTAATCGAGAGATACGCTAAACAATCAGACAATTTAAAATCTATACAGCACAAGATTCGAACAAGAAATTCGCCGAGTATCAAGGATTCACGTTAAAGATAGAGTTGTTATATTAAATGCAAATAAAGATGATACGGAACCCTCTTAAAGCGAGCCCTACTCGCACTTGGCAAGACTATTTCAATACGTAATCATATGAGTGCCCTTCTGTTTGAACCGGATATAATATTCTTATGGAATTCCGAACAGTCGGCGACCCAACCTCTTCTGACCTTTCTTTAAGCAACCGGTTCGCATCTTGTTAATATTATCCGCAATTTATCACGTGCCAGTTATGAAACGGTTGTTTTTAATCTGTGCGCGAAGATTTGTTTCTCGACGAATGCATAGACAACGCGCGTATTTTTTTTTTTTTCAAACTTTATTTATTTCAGTCTTACTATTTAAATCGCACGTTTCGATGTTGCAATACATCAAAGTATTTTCTTAAAAAGTAATTTTGACATATACAAACGGTCTAGTCCTTGACACGTTATTGCTATATGCATTAAGATATGGCCGCTATGTGCATTAGTTTATCGTGTTTTGACCGACTTGAGTCGTCGATTTAGCATTTACACAGTATTTGTTTTGTCGGGACGATAGTTCATATTTATTCT